AAAGGGGCCCCTACTCAGGACCTACCCCGAAACAAGGCCATAGGCAACCCTTATTTTAAAAAATGCCTTTTAAAATGGTGAAAAGTGATGTATTTTACCCGCTGTTTTTGGGGGTTTGGTTTCCCCAGTCTCTTTCCTTTTATTTGCCGGCTACGAAACCCTCAATTCTTTTGTTTGGAGAACATGAAATTCAACCATCAGAGGGTGTTCAGCAGGGTGACCCACTCGCTCCACTTCTCTTCTGCTTGGCAGTAAGAGAACTAACTTCCAGCTTACGCAGTGAGCTCAATATCTGGTACCTGGATGACGGCACTCTGGCAGGTACTGAAGAGTCCCTCGTGGGGGACCTACAACTGGTGAAAACACAGGGAGAAGACTTGGGACTCATCCTCAATCCCTCCAAGTGTGAAATCATCACAACGAACCAGGAAATAATCAATGCTGTGCAAAGAATCCTCCCGGAAGTCTCAACTACAACTCCGTCCAACAGTACCCTCTTGGGGGCACCGCTGGGTCACCAGGCCATCGATACTGTCCTCAGGGACAAATTGAATGACCTGATGAGAATGGAGGAGAGAATAAGCGATCTTGATGCCCATGATGCTCTGTATCTCCTCACAAGGTGTCTTACTATGCCCAAGACTCGCTTACTTCTTGAGGTGTGCACCCTCTTTTGACAACCAACACTCCATGAATATGACGCACACCTGAGATCAACTTTTAAGAAGGCACTGAACCTGTCACTAGAGGATGAGCAATGGGATCAGGCAACCCTCCCAGTGCGACTGGGAGGTATAGGGGTGCGTAAAGCAACGCATGTTGCTTTACCTGCTTTTCTGTCTTCGTGTTTGGCTTCCAGTGCATTAGTCAAGAAGATAGTGCCCGAACGCTTGAGAGACTGGTAGGAGCTCAAGACCCCAGGTTTACTGAAGCAGCGATTCGGTGGGACACCCTTACAGACTCCTCCAGCAGACCAGCTCCTCCCAAACAGCACAAACAGTCCCACTGGGACAAACCGATCATGGAAAAAATCGCCAACACAATGCTCTCCAATGCTTCAGGAAAGAACAAAGCTTGTCTCCTGGCAGTGAAGGCACCACACTCAGGAGATTTCCTGTTAGCTGTTCCCAATTCTTCCCTGGGCACCCGTCTCGACCCACAGGCCATTCGGATTGGTGTTGCTCTTCGCCTAGCCGCCCCCATCCTCACCGAACATAGGTGTATTTGCGGCAGGGCAACTGCTGATCAATTCGGACTTCATGGTCTTGTGTGCCACACAGCAGAAGGGAAGCATGCCAGACATGAGGAGATAAATGACATAATAAAGAGAAACCTCACCACAGCCCGTTGCCCAGCTCAACGGGAACCCCAAGTACAGAGGTCTGATGGAAGTCAAAAGCGTCCTGATGGAGCCACTATGCTACCCTGGAAGGATGGAAAGCAGATTGCCTGGGACTACACCTGTGCTGCCACATTGGCAGACACCTACTTGCCATACTCCGTAGTGGAAGGGGGTGGAGCTGCCAGCCACAGGGAGACCCAGAAGATCCGAAAATATGAAGACCTTCCCCCTTGCTATAACTTCATTCCAATAGGGTCGGAGACCCTTGGAGCATGGGGCAAGTGTGCTCTAAAGTTCCTCAAAGAGCTGGGTGAAAAGCTAATCATAGAAACCAAGGACCACAGGGCGACCAGCTTCCTCTTTCAGAGACTCAGTGTTGCGATCCATAGAGGAAATGCCTGCAGCATTCTGGGCACGCGGCCCACCGCAGGGGAGCTGGACGAAGTATTCGAGATGTAGCTCTGAGTTACCTATGTTGTTTTACTTTCTGTTGTATTTTTGTAAATGTTTGGCCAATGTATTTTGTCTTTAAATAACACATACTTGAAATATAGGGGGTGGTAGAAGAAAATTCTCAAACAGCTTCAGGGAGAACCTTGAGTTTTCCCTGAAGCAAGTTTATTCTTTTCTCTGAGGATGAGGGTCCCTATGACAGTTCTAGAGGTGGTACCTCCCTATATTTATATAATATATATATATATATAATATATATATATATATATATATATAATATATATATATATATATATATATTATATATATATATATATATATATATATATATATATATATATATGCAAAACAACCACAGGGAGAGTAGAATGATAGCTCTAGGCGTTTCGTGTTGTAATCAAAACATCATCAGTAGCTTTCAGAATTGCTTAAAAGAGGGGAAGTTCCAGCAAATAACGTTCCCAGGGGACCGCTTTTACTGGAGTGAGAGAATAGGGTAGAGAGACAGAAAGGACGGGGTACCTGGAAATAACCACAGGCACAACAGTGCGCATAGCCAGAGAGATGAATATTATATATAGCATTAGAAAAAATCCCATATGCATTGATATTGTAAACGAAATTAACGTGGCAATAATAAAAATTTTGTCATATTCTGCTATGATATCAATAACATTAAGGAAAAAAATATCAATATATTGTCATTGATGTAGAAGTCACTGGCAATTACATCCAGCAAGGACAACGTGTCCCCTTAAATTATGAGAGAAAACGGTCCCATATGTGGGGGGACTTCTGAACAATTTATGTTAAGGAAACGAGCTCATAAAATAAACATGTTTAAGGGGGGGGGAGAGGAAGACATTTGCAAAAACAAGGAAGCCATTCAAATATATCCATCGCACATAATTCTGGGGGAAATTCTGATTCAACCTTCAAAAACTGCTCTAAAAAAATATATAGGCCTTATTTCCTCGGTGTGGCAATTTATTTAAGACAGAATGATGCATTCGTATAAGTGCCCAATTTTAAGCAGTGTACTATTGCCTCAGCTAAAAACGCATCTGCTTTGAACATGCCATCACTGTTATTGTATAAAGCCTGCCTATCATGCTTAATAATTGCCGATTCTACAATATTCCATTCAATCCAGGAACAACAAGGGAAGATGTCTCTTGCTTCCTGCCAGTTTGCTGGGTTTTTACAAGCTCTAATATGGTTGAAAATCGTGTTCGACTCCTGTGCTATACGTATCGAATAACGGTGTTGGGACATTCTCGCCTCCAAGGATTTTCCAGTTTGTCCCAAATAGGAGAGACTGCAACCAATGCAACTAACTCTGTAGACACCACTTGTTGGTGGGGCGCATTCATAATCAGGATTCTTCTAACAGTTCGTGTATTTTTAATTAAATACTAGTTGTATATTAATTATTCTAAAAGCATTCAGCAGGATAGATAAATTCTGTTATATGGGAGGACCAGCACATACTTTGTCTGAGGTGTTATCTTAGGTTTTGCTCTATAATAAGTTTTCTTAGCTGCCAGTAAGGCAGATTCCATAAACACTTTAGGATATCGCAGTTTCGTGCCAATATCAATAATTTTCCCAATTTCTTCATCTAGGAACTCCGGACTGCACACTCTATAGGCTCTCAAAAACATTGTAAGAAACACACTCCTTTTGACTCTAGTCTCATGGTTAAAGTAGTAGTGAATGTATGAGCACACATTGGTAGCCTTCCTATATACTGTAAACTTAAACTTTCTATCAACTCGGTGTATCAACACATCTAAGAATGGAAGTTCACAGTCCACCTCTTTCTCCACGGTGAATTTAATAGACGGGACTAAAGAGTTAAGTCTTGGTAAAAATGTATCAAGGCCATAACATTTGGCCAAAGACACAAGATGTCATCCACATATAAGAACCATTTAGCTCTACATGGCAGGATATCTTTCAACAGTCTAGCCTCGAAAATTCCATATACAAATTGCTCAGTAAAGGGGACAACGGATTTCCCATCGCCATTCCTTGTTTTAGAGCATAGTATTTCCTTTCAAACTCAAACTTGCAATCAACTACACAAAACTTAAACAATTCAGTAATGGTATTTTTATCAAAAGGCAAAGAGAACTCATGTAATTCTTCTTCCAAATAAAATAGCAAGTCAGGAACAGGGACTCTCGTGAACAACGCTGTGACATCAAAACTAACGAGTGAAAAATCATTAGACATGTTGTTATTTTGCAATTTGTCGATAAGATCAACATTGTTTTTTTAAGTTGGCTTCAGATATGTTGCAATCAAAGGAGTTAATATTTATACTAACCATTTTAACAAGGCATATGATGCCGATCCTACCTCCTACCGAACTAATTATAGGTCTGGCTGGAAAAACTGGCTCGTGGATTTTAATCAAACCTTACATGTAAGTGAGTGTCGCAGATCTCGCCGATAACTGTTTAATTAATTCCTCGCAACCTCTCAGTAAGGTGTGGGAGCTACAGGTGTGGAAGCTATCAGGTGTGGGAGCTTCCATACTCGACTTCCTGCAATAAATACTACTCATCTCATCCTACATTAAGACTACAAATATTTTACTAAGGTAAGTAATAAAGGTACTGTGTATGTATTTTAGTTTTTATTGTTTTGTAATGCCTAGTGCTACTGTTAATTTATAATAAGTTAGTGTAAACTTGTTATCTGGCATTTATAGTCATTTATAAATGGAAAAAATGGCGCTCCACTTTACAGCGGTAGCCTTGAACCTAACCTGCCGAATAAGTGGGTTCTACTGTATGTATGTATGTATGCAAATGTTATTTTAGACCAGATCGAGACTTGAACCTGCACATGCTACATCAAAGTACACAGTATTTATCCCACAAAGCCAAGCTCCATTTAAGTGTGGGTTTCTATAGATTCTAGGGTCTCCGTGGTATTCTTGGCACACGTACTTATCTTAGGTCTGGCTGTGTAGAATAATTACGTAAAAGACAATAAAGTAACTGACAAAGTATTGGTATAAATAATGCGTAAAAGAGATAATGGTCATCTCTCCTCTTCTACAATTGAACGTTTGTACTTTATCTGATTATTAATAATTCTCTTGTTATTTTTATTTTTTCGTTAAATAATTTATCAAAGTTCCAAGTACATACATGCCAGGTAATGTTTTAATACTATTAACTAATTGTTTCAGAACTCAGGCTTGTACGTCTTCACTGACCTCACCGTCGAGACCAGACCTTGTGAGCAAGAACAAGGTATTCTAAACTATATGTATTTTACTCCATTCACCCATACTTATCAGTTTAATTTTCCTATAACTTTTGCATTACATTTTCAATTTTTGTAAATTTCTTTATCTTGTCTAATTGCTCAAATTCTCCAGTTTCGGATGGCAATTCATACAAATTTCTTTATTTGCTTCTGCGGACAACAAACAAAAATAACACTACAAGGAAAGCTGATTCAGATTACTGTGAAATCCAATTAAATTGCTTGAAAATACTCATTACGGTGCAAAATAGGAGTGAATATAATCACATGGAGTTTTTTTATGTCACGAATCTTACAAATTATTAAAAATAGAGCAATCTATAATTAGGGCACTACCACATATTCACTCTATATAAGTCCAACGTTGTAGGTGTTCACTCCCATTCATTTCATTATGTAAGGACTTGGTATTGTAAAAGGTTCCTTGCCTTATTATTATTATTTTTATTATTATTATTATTTTTATATAATAATAATAATAATAATAATAATAAATAATAATAATTTATTAACACATCGGCCGTTTCCCATCAAGGCAGGGTGGCCTGAAAAAGGAAAAACTTTCATCATCATTCGTTCCATCACTGTCTTGCCAGAGGGGTGCTTACACTACAGTTATAAAACTGCAGCATTAACTCCCCCCCCCCGCCTCCCCCCGCCTTCAGAGTGCCGGCACTGTAACTTTCCACCTCCAGGACTCAAGTCCGGCCTGCCGGTTTCCCTGAATCCCTTCATAAATGTTACCTTATGCACTAACAGCACATCAAGTCCTAAAAGCCACTTGCCTCCATTCACTCCTATCAAATACGCTCACGCAATGCACACTGGTAGTCCAAGCCCCTTGCACACAAAACCTCCTTTACCCCCCTCCCTCTAACCTTTCCTAGGCCAACCCCTACCCCGCCTTCCCTCCACTACAGATTTGTACACTCTCGAAGTCATTTTATTTTTTCCAACCTCTCTACGTGTCCGAACCACCTCAAAAACCCCTCCTCAGCCCTCTGGATAATAGATTTGGTAATCCCGCACCTTCTAATTTCTGAAACTAAAGCCTCCTCTGCATTATATTCACACCACACATTGCCCTCACACATGACATCTCCACTGCCTCCAGTCTTCTCCTTGTTTCAAAATTCACAACCCTTGCCTCACAACCCATACAAGAGTGTTGGTAAAAACTATGATACATTCCCCTCTTTGCTTTCATTGACAAAGTTTTTTTGTCTCTACAAACTCCTCAATGCATCGCTCGCCTTTTTCTCCTCATCACGTCTATGATTTACCTCATCTTTCATAGACCCATTCACTGACACGTCCACTCCCAAAAGTCCTGAATGCATTCACCTCCTCCATACTCTCTCCCACCAATCTGATATCCAATATTCATCACCTAATATTTTTGTTATCCTGATCACCTTACTCTTTCTATATTCACTTTTAATTTTTCTTTTGCACACCCTACCAAACTCATCCACCAACCTCTGCAACTTCTCTGCAGAATCTCCCAGAAGCACAGTGTCATCTACAAAGAGCAACTGTGACAACTCCTACCTTGTGTTAGATTTTTTATCTTTTACCCCACAACTCTTGCCAAGGCCCTAGCATTCACTTCTGTTACAACCCCATCTATAAAAAAAATAAATACCACAGTGACATCAAACATCCTTGCCTAAGTCCTCTTTTTCTGGGGAAATAATCTCCCTCTCTCCCACATACTCTAACCGAGCCTTCACTACCTTCGTAAAAAACTCTTCATGCTTCCAGTAACCTACCTCCTATTCTATACATCTGCAACATCTGCCACATTGCCCCCTATCCACCCTGTCATACACCTTTTCCAAATCCATGAATGCCACAAAACTCTTTTACCCTTATCTAAATACGTTCACCTTATATGTTCACTGTAAACACTTGGTCTACACCACCCCCTACCTTTCCTAAAGCCTCTTGTTTATCGGGTATCCTACTCTCGTCCTACTCTTAATGTTTTCGATAATGACTTTCCCGTACACTTTACCAGGAAAAACTCAACAGACTTATGCGCCTATATTTTGCACTCTCTTTTGTCCCCTTTGCCTTTAATACATTGGAACCATGCACGCTCTCTGCCAATTCCCTAGGTACCTTACCCTCTTTCATACATTTATTTAACAAACCAAACCGCTCCAAAACTATATCCCCAACCTGGTTTTAACTTTTCTATCTTTATCCCATAAATTCCCACTGCCTTTACCCCTTTTATTCTACCCACTGCCTCACGAATTCTCCCCCACACTACAACTGGCTCTTCTCACTCCACAAGATGCTATTCCTCCTTTCCCTATGCACGAAATCACAGTTTCCCCTATCTTCATCAACATTTAACAATTCCTAAAAAACATTCCCTCCATCTTCCCGATACCTCTAACTCTACATTTAATAATTCTCCTCTACTTTTTTTAATTGCCAAATCCATTTGTTCCCTAGTCTTCCTCAAACTTTTTTAATCTAAGAAAAAAGGGAGTAAGAAAGAGAGGAGGTTTCGCAGATGAATAAGGGGGCGTTAGGAAGAATACGGGATGTGTAAACGAAATTTTTACATTGAAGGATGTAAATAAACAGTATTTATATAAGGGAAAGGAAGTTTCTTTGCATTTAAGGAATTTGGAAAAGGCAATGATAGAGTAACTAGGCAGCAATGTGGAATAGGTCGTAAGTTACTGAAAGCAGTTAAGAGTTTTTATAAAGGGTAGTAAAGCTCACGTAAGGGTATTAGAATGAAGAGAAATTAATTTCCAGTAAAACTGGAATACCCCGTGATCCCGTTTAATGTATTTAATGTAGTTATGATGGTGTTGTAAGAGAAGTGAAAGCGGGATTGTTAGGTAGAGGTTGGGGGTTACCACAGTTGCTTTATGGTACTAAACAAGGTACTAACGGGGAAGAAGAGGGGTTGTTGACAGGTTTACCACACACACCACACACACACATATATATATATATATATATTATATATATATATATATATATATTTTAATATAATATATATATTAATATATAATATATATATGTATAAAATATATATATAAAATATATAATATAATAAATATAAATATATATATATATATATATATATATAAATATATATATAATGTATATATATATATAAATATATATATATATATATATATATAATATAATTTTATTATATATATAAAATGAAAGCGCTTGGAATTCTCTATTCTTTCAGAGTGGTTGTTTTGCGCATATATATAATATATATATATTTATATATATATATATATATATTAAACAATAAAATGCTGAAATTGGGTTCAGCAGCCTTACCTCACTTACTGGCACTACCAACATCTTGTATGGAACTCCACACTGATAAAACAAACCCAAACTGATTTATTATGAAATAAATAATGCATTATACCTTATTTTCTTCCCTCAAAATTATTTAAAATTTGAAAGTTTTTGAAATTTAGTAAAATACTGACATTTTCCCATCCACAAATAAAAAAGAACGATTGCCCTTGCGCGAATTATTCATAAGTTAGTTAAATGGTTAAGACAAGATTTTGTTCAGATTTTTAGCCAAAGAGGTTTAAACCCTCCTGGATAACCCAAGGGTGTTAACCAACCTGGATAACCCAAGGGGGTTTTTAACCACCCTGGATACCCCAAGGGTGTTAACAACCCAGGATAACCCAAGGGTGTTAAAACCCCCCTGGATAACCCCAAGGACGTTAACCACCCTGGATAACAAAAGGATGTTAACCAATCTGGATAACCCGAGGGGGTTAAACCACCCTGGATAACCCAAGGGTGTTAAAGTACCAATGGATAACCCAAGGGTATTAAACCACCCTGGATAACCAAAGGGGTTACCACCCTGGAAAAGCCGAAGGGGGTTAACCACCCTGGATAACCCAAAGGTTTTTAACCACCCCAGATAGCCCAAGAGCGTTAACCACCCTGGATAACCCAAAGGGGTTAACCACCCTGATAACCCAAGGGTGTTAACCACCATAGATTAACCCAAGAGTGTTAACCACCCGGACAATCCAAGAGTGTTAAACCACCCTTGGATAACACAAGGGTGTTAACCCACCCCGGATAACCCCAAGGGCTTAACAACCCTGGAAAACCCAAGGGTGCTAACCCCCTGGATAACCAAGGGTGTTAACCACCTGGAAAACCAAGGAAAGGGGTTAACCACACTGGATGACCAAAGGGTGTTAACGACTGTGGATAACCCAAGAGTTTAACCACCCTGGATAATCTTACGGTGCTAACCCCCGGATAAACCCAAGGGTGTTAAACACCCCGGAAAACCCAAGGGTGTTAACCACCCTGGAACCCAAGGGGGGTTAACCACCCTGGATAACCCAAGGGCGTTAACCACCCTGGATAACCCAAGGGTGTAACCACCCCGGATAACTCAAGGGTGTTAACCACCCCTGCAAAACCCAAGAGTGCTAAGCACTCTGGATTTAAACCCCAAAGGGGGTTACCACTCTGGATAACCCAAGGGTGTTAACCACCCCGGATAACCCAGAGTGTTTAAGCACCCTGGATAACCCAAGGGTGTTAACCACCCTGCAAACCCAAAGGTTTAACCACCCTGGATAAACCCCAAAGGGGGTTAACCACTCAGGATAACAAAAGGGTGTTAACCACCCTGGATAACCGAAGGATGTTAACCACCCTGGATAACCCCCAAAGGTTTTAAACACCCTGGATAACCCAAGGGGTTAACCACCCTGGATAAAACAAGGGTGTTAACCACCCTGGATAACCCAAATGATGTAACCACCCTGGATAACTCAAGGGTGTTAACCACCCTGGATAACCCAAAAGGGGGTTAACCACCTTAGATAACCCAAGGGTGTTAACCACCCTGGATAACCCAAGGGTGTTAACCACCCTGGATAACCAAAGGATGTTAACCACCCTGGATAACCCAGGGTGTTAATCACCCTGGATAACCAGAGGG